AGAGTGATTCAATGGTGATTGAGCGATTTCGAACGATCTGTTGAGCAAACTCATTGCGGTGATCGTAAACCTATTGATGTGCTCGATTGTTGATGAAATCATGAACCTTGATTATTTCGCTTAAGTGAAGCGAGCATGATAGCTATCATCAAATTTCAGCTCAATAGCAGCAAGCGCTCCTGTATTCTGGTTCCCTGAAACGACTGTGCCTGAAGATGTCTTCGATCATATCGTTCAGAGATCATTTGTGAATGCTGGCTGCAAAGCGGACAGTATTTTGGCCGCATGGAATGCTCTTGAACAGCTTTCTAAATCAGGTTTCTGCCATTTATTTTTCCATTCCTATGGTAGTTTTTCATTCAATATCCCTTGCTTCCTTGTGAATCACACGCTCTTTTACAATGCTGTCACAAGTTCATAACCCTTTCATACACCCATTTTCATTAACCAATAAATCGCATACTTCAGACCGCGGTCGTTCATATTTGAACAATCTTTTCAAATTAGAAGAGAGATCCTATCTTCTAAAGCCAGAAGATGTATACTTTTTGAAAGAGTTCATTCGTGAATCATTCGAATCGATGGCTATGGTCAATTATCCTTATCCCAGTGACTTCCTCGCCCCACTACCTGGATGGCCAGTCAAAGTAAGCTCAATTCGGTAGCATTCTGTGACAGTCTGTAGCAATTTTTTATGGAGCCATGAATGTTGCTGTATTGTTTATTTGCTCAAGTATCAACAATCAAGATTAACTTAAACCAATCTGCAAATATATTGTATCGAAGCGTCACTGCTAAGCGAACATATCGCTTAGCAGTGACGCGGAGAAAAAAAAAGATGTTTTCATGTGAGTATTCATTGTGTATACTGTTCTTTAAAGGTTGCATGTGGATTTTTCAACTCTTCCGTACGGAAAAGTGCCGAAGAGCATGCATTCGATATGTACTCGATGGTGAATTTATACTATAACTTTACTGGCCAAAAGGAAACTCTCTGCGTTAATGCGGCCGTTTGTGATGATTCTGCATATGGCGCACTAGGCGATCCACTAGGATGGCCGTGGCAGGTAAGGGAAACATATTGAATTCTCTTCAAAAGGTCACCTGAGACCTGAAAAACAGTTGACACCATTCATGATCGCTTTTCAGGCGTGCACTGAAATGATAATGCAGCAGTGTGGAAGTGGACCACCGAATGATTTCTTTTGGAATGATTGTCCGTTCACAATGCAAGGTTCACCACATTACAATAAACTTTCATCTAATAATACATCTGTAGTTTCATTCACATTGATTTCTCACATATAATATATCTGATCGTTAGAATGACTCAGTCACTTAAGAATTTAGTAAAATCTGAAGACAGCGAAAGCCCTAATGAAGGAAAAGCTGGCATTGAAGACATCCCAAATATTGCCGATAGCGTTTAAGAGCAAACAGATAATCAATTCAGTTCAGGTGTGATCGCTGGATGTGAGAGTTGGTTCGGCAAAATTGGATATACTAAGCAACTGACGAGACCTGACTGGGCCATACTTAATTATGGTGATCATTATCCAACAGCGACCAATATTGTTTTCAGGTGAGCTCATTTCCTTCCTGTACCCATTTTTTGCGTTAGAACTCCTCTTCAGGAGCTCAACAATTCCCATCGTACAGTCGTTTATCAAATAATTCTGTTCACTGCGTGCAATAAATAACATCGTATATTGCTAATAAATCAGATGTATTCAGTTCTGCCTACAAATAGTAAAATGTAAACTTCAAAAGACTTTTATCATGCTGTCAACGATAAATCCATTTGCAGCAATGGTTACTTGGATCCTTGGTCGGGTGGTGGTTGGTCTCTGCAACCAAAAACCAGCGGTTCTCTTGTCAGTATCATTATTGAGGTGAGTGGTCTTTAATCACGCTATCAGCCAATCAGTAATATCTTCGGCCTCTATTTCAGTCACTGCCCATTCTATCGTTTTGGATTATCGTTAAAAGTAAACATCGTAAGAGGCTAATGTTTGATCAGTAGGAAACTGTGCGTTTCTTTCTGAACACTGATAATAGAGATTTTTTGACATCTAGCTAGGCACTCTTGTTTACTTTAGGTGTGTTCTATTGCTGGCTTAATCTTTTGATTTCTAACTTTTTTTCAGCTGAAAATTTTTTTGAAGTGTGGTAGTTTGTGAATGTGTGTTGTAGTTAAACGATACACAAAAGAAATTGTTTAATTTTAAAGGATGGTGCACATCATTACGATCTCCGTGGATCACATCCCAAAGATACAGATGCGGTCAAAGAAGCACGTAACTTAGAACGTACATACATCAGAAAATGGATACACGATGCCGAGAAACGTTTTAGACGTATGAATGAACATCAGCGATACACTACAAAATTATTCGGTATTTTTCTCGCCAATCCGCATAACTCTCCTCAGCTTTATTG